TGGTGGCCGCCTGTGATCAGTCCCCTGCTCCAGGGGCAGTCCTTGCCGCCTCTGCAGCCTCCTCGGCACCTGCTGGAGCCATTTTCGACTGCTCGTCGGGTTCGGCACATACCCATACTACCGAGGAGAACCTTGGCTTCAAAAAGAAGGTGACCCCTGCTGTCGTCAGGAGCCCAAATCAACATGATACAGCAAACTACAGTGTGGCCACCACCGGTACAGATCGGCTTCAGTGCAGTGATACTGCAGCCGCTGTCTTAGGTTGCGCGACGCGGGTGGCGCGGACAAGCATTTCCGCATGCACACTCCCGCTGCTGATTGCTGCTCGAGGTAGAGGCAAAACATTGATAAAACAACTAGGAAAAGGTGATCATGCCCGAAGAGGAGAACGGCTATGATGGGGGTGGCGATGATGGTGATCATGACGATAACGATGATGTTGATCATGATGATGATGATGATGATGATGATGATGATGATGATGTCGATGACACTGATTACGATGGTGATGGTGATGGTGATGATGATGGTGGTGACGACGATGATGATGATGGTGATGGTGATGACGGTGATGATGATGCTGATGATGCTGATGATGACGACGATGACGATGACGACCTCGATATTGGGACAACGACGAACACCCCGATAATACTGTAATTGCTTCCGGAGACATCTGCAGATCCTCCGAGAGGCGATTCAAGCAACAAGGATTTCTGCCCGAAGCCGGAGTCCACAAACTTCTAGAAGCCTTTCAGGCCCAGGTATTTGTCCTGAGCTCCCTCTACCCGAGTCCCCAGATCCGGCCTACGCCGTTGATCTCAATGACCTCGACACCTGCAAGTGCGGCGTTCGAACTCACAGCAAATCGCATATGCTCGGAGACGCGAGAGGCTGATCCTTTCTCAGGCTAAGCTCGGAGTCCGGGGCCCAGTGCTTGATAGCTTATGATCCATCTTTGAGGATGCTCGCAAGTAGATTTCAAATCGTTATGACTCATGACGATTCATCTGCGAAGCCTTGCCGGCATACCGTGGAAAGGAACGAAAGTAAAAATGCTCGCGGCGAAGTTCCAAGCTGCACTTAACGATTTAGGGTGCTCAAGGAAAAGAAGCGAAAGCAAGCTGAACAGCTTTCTGTTATCGGAGTCTGACTGAATTTGGACGACGTCGCAAAGAATGATCCACTAGACGTGTTGTGCTGCACATGGCCATTTCAACAGCGGGAGTCCGTGCATCTAGAAATCCAGTCTAGACCCTCGCTTTGCTGAGGAATCGTGCGGAGCGCACGTGCGGACCACAGGCGTCGAAGCGAATCCTCCTGAAATCTCCTGAATCTGACATCTCAACATCTCCCTAAACCCTAAACCCTAAACCCTAAACCCTAAACCTTAAGAACCTCAGACTTCACATCTGATCTGAAGCTCTCCCAAGAGACCCGACGGAGTGCGTCTCCATATCCCGAAATCCCCGAAACCCTGAACTTTCTAAAGCACAGAACCCTGCAGTGATGAAATTTTGACGGTTGCAGAACCCGAAACTGCAAAATATTGCAAAATTTTGTGTAAACCAACACACCAAGAACTCCCTGGACGGGACTGTTTTTCGGGTCGGCTGCCTACGAGTAATGAGCCGACAGCCACGGAGTCAAGCCAGTTGTTACCTTGGAAACATGTGTGCTTCCGTTTGTTCTGCTTATACTGCCAAACCAAACAGGCGTAGTTTGGGATCTGACGTTTCCGGGCTCGAAGACTTGTGTAGGAATCAGGTTTTAGAGCTCAGGAAGGTGGCGAAATATACACAGCTTGGGAAATGTGCGCCGATCAACACCCCGCACATCCAACAAAAGCTGCAACGCTATCAACACGACAATGGCCACCACAGTCGGTAAGCATCGTCACCAGTCGTCTGATCGATCATCACCCGTCGACGACATGAAAACCACTATCGTCGTCATACTTGCCATCACATAACAGTACCTGCGAGCAGCCATCATCTTTTGAGCACCATTTTTAAGAGAGAGTTCGACAAGTTGTTGGCGATGGCTCATGGCCATTCGAGCTGGCGGTTGGTGAGTGGTTGTAGCACCGTTGCACTTGAGGCTCGGCAGCTACAGTACTGTTGGAGGGATCAGGCTGTATGGGACTCTTGCAGTTGCAATGTTCTTGGCGAGTCAACAGGGGTTGTGTCAGACAAGGTGACCGTGTTGGATCCTTCGCAGCCAACTCTCGATCTACGCGTGGCACTACCGCTGTGCGGAACGATAGTTGTACAATCACACAACTTGTGTCTACTGCTTTGTACTGTATGGGTGAAGCTCCGAGATTCCAGACTTTATGCTGCAAAGAAGCTGAACTCAAAGCCAGCGATGACATGGTCGGCAAAGTTGTGCACCAACGGGCCCTGAAACGGCGTCTCTGGGTGCTCAGGCTTCCGCATGTCTTAAAGGTTTAGGGGGAACTCCTGAGTCCGGGTACGAGGGCTCCATCGCACAGATCTCCAACTCTGGTTTAGCGTCATAGGCCTGTGGGTCTAGGCCCTAAGAGCCTAAAAGGCCGTGAACTAAACCACTACACACGAACCGGAGACTGCTAGGCTTCCTTAACACTCGATCCTAGAGCCCTGAAGCTTTCAGATCCAGATCTCAAGCTGCTGCCCCGAACATCACGCTCCCCATAAGACAGCGGATTTCAGCGTGCAACAACCTCCAATTTCAATGTGCTAGAACTCCTCATGGCGCCCTTCTTCATCGGGACATGCTTTAGACGCACACTGTGTGTCAAAGACTCGTGAGCATGTTAATTCAGCTTTTCACGACGACCGCTGGATTTTTGCGCTTCGCACGCCCTCTGGGAGTTTCGCAGTAGATTTTGGCTTCGGGCTGTCCCGAAGAAGGCATGGTTCAAACGTTGAGAAAGTCCCGGCCTTAGGGCCTCAAAAGTTTAGGACTTCATAGTGGAAGACATGTTGGACGAGGCTCTTGGGAGTTGTCGGAGTCTGTTCTACTGTAGAGTATAGCCATCAGAGGGAAGGACTCGGGGTCTGAACCTCAAAGCCCCAAACCCTTCATTCGTCAAGGTTTAACCTGACTCATTCCTCAAGGCATAGCCAAGTGAGGTGAGGCCTGCATGGCAGGGTGTTGAGCCAAGTTTGCCCACTGCTCCTAATCTGGCTGACTTCACCATGCTGGAAACTGAAAGTTCTAGGCCCTAAGGTGAGTTCTCAAGTGCAATCCCCAAACATGTGCACACTCGATGCCTGGACCACGTCACCGATAAATAGATTGAACTTGATTTCCAGTCCTAGGGCATTTGCAACAGGCGAGTGAAGTGTAAAGCTGGGCTACCTAGTTGTCTTGCTCCGTCACCCAAAGCCCCAAACCTATTGTGACTTGACGCGCACAGAGGGGTGCCGCTGCGAGACTGCGACGCCAGAGCAAAAGGAAACCCCTACTCCTGTACCACTTGGCTCAGAAATATTGTAAACGCCAGGCACATTCTCAAGATTCACGATGATGGATTTGATAAAATGAGGCTTGTAGGTTTGGATTGCAGGCAAAGGATTGAGGCTTGCCGGCTTGGAGACTTCCTTTTGGATTTGAAGCCGATCCGTGAAACCCTTGAGAACATCAAACCCGTCCCAATAGAATTCAGAGAAGCATTAAGAAGCGACTCTCCCGATGAAGTCCGCAGGTGTTTAAAGCGTATTCTGATGCAAGAGTCGGCCGCCGGTCTCCGTCACAACCTGCAGGCGTGCGCACTCCGACACTGGTCTCAAACACAACACTAAATTAAATAGGGCTGCCCTTTAGCCCTACACCCTTGATGAGAAAACCAGGATGGCCCAGCAATTCTGGCGGAGAGGTGCATGTGAGCACATAGTAGTGGCAGAAGTAGTCGTCGTCGTAGTAGTAGGAGTAGCAGCAGCAATCAGTGGTCGTCGTCGTCGCCGCCGCCGTCGTCGTCGTCGTCAAGCGGCTCGTGGCTCAGCGGCTGCACTCCCAATTAAGCTCCATCTACAGCATCGTGGATGCATCTAAAGTCAAGAGCACAGCTGGTAACCCATGAAGGTACTGGCCTACCAACAGTGGCCCTCAAGAACAACTTGATATCCAAACGGTACAAGCTTAAGCACGGTACTCATGACAATCATAATTGCAGCAAAGATAGCAATGAAGAGTAATAACACCAGCATCATGATCATGAACGAATCTCAAATGAGAGCGTGCGTCACCAACACTCCCTCCTTCTCCCAAGCCTTAAACTTGATCGCGCCACTCACCGGTCCCTCTGCGAAACGTGCCTCGCACAACTTTTTGGACTTGTTTCGTGGGAAGAGAGTTAGGGGTGGGGTCACCACGCAATGTCCGCGATTTAGAGTGCAGTGCAATGGTCCAAATCTTCCGCCTTCACAAATTTAAAGTTAAGCATCTGACAACCTGACACCTCTTAGCAACGGGAGGTGTCAGGATCCTGGTATATACGGCGAAAGGCCCTGAAAGAAGCGGTTTAATTGATCAGGTCTCATATTTGCTGGGGATTGCTGGGGTGTTCGGGAGCAGGGGCGAACTCGTGTAAGGGCGCGAAGCTGTAGAAAGGTGTATGCAGGTAGTTCTAACATCGGACTGCCTATGGACTTCGGGTTTAGGGTCTCTTGACGGGTATCTCGGGTACGTGCAGCCTCGAGCTGGAACAGCCAAAAACCCGACCAGAACACAGAGCAAGGCAAAACCTCGTCGCGGGACTCACCTACACAACGAACGTAGTCTGCATTCCACTGCATGCTCATGAGCCCAGCTTCAAGCGACAACAATGAAAAAAAATCCGACCTGACACCCTCACTTAAGCTGAGTCGACTCCGACTAGCACCCTGATGCCTTGCCTACGCATTTCCGAACACCAAAACTCCAACACCGTCCGAAACGCTCGAAGCCTACAGGGTCTGGGAATGCGCGAAACCTGGAACTGAAATGAAGGCCACACGAAACACACGCCCGAGCATTTAATATAGATGAACCCTGCAACAGCGAAATGCTGTCGAATCCGTGTCAAAAACAGGTTGCACACACCTAACCCTGAATGCAAACGCCTGCAACCCCTGAACGCGCAACCCTGGCACGCTGAAGGCCTCGTAGCGGGCCTTCTGCTCACGCATCGTCAGGCCGTCCAGATCCCCAAGATTGGGAAATACCTGAGGGTTTAGACGGTTTAGAGCTTAAAGGATGGGGTTCATTGGAAAGGATGTAGCAGGTGCTGTTAACGGGAGCTGGCGGCCTTCCTAAGCTGTGAATGCGAGGATGGGAAGGAATCAGCACTATCATCGTATCCTTGATGAAGTTTGTGAATCAAGATTCATAACCTACACATTATGTGGTACTGGGAGTACGAACTGGAGGGTTTGGAATTGCCAGGAAGAAACAGCAGGAGGCGTACCAATAAACAACAACAATAATCAGTTATCATAACAATAAAAAACAATCACAATCGTCGTCGACGTATTCGTCGTAGTCTTGGAGGTGGACTTGGATGCGGAAGTGCCATGGCAGTGGCCATGGCGGTGGCTGTGGGTGGTTGTTGTTGTTGCTGTTGTTGTTGTTGTTGTTGGTGGTGGTGGTGGTGGTGGTGGCGGTGGTGGTAGGGGTGGTGGGGATGGGGGTGGGGGTGGTGGCGGCGGGGGTGGCGGAGGCAGCGCTGGTGCTGGCGGTGGCGCTGGTAACAGTCGTGAGGTCGTTGTCGGCGTTGTAGCAGCCGCGGCAGTAGTGGCAAAGGCAGCAGTGGCAGGCCATTGATGGCTGTCGGCTGCACACCAAGCCCGTCCAATAGTCTAAATGCCACGCAATTGACAAGCAGCCGTAATCCCCCATCATAACGACTAAGAACCCCGTTCGTATATAACATCGTACATAACCACAAAGAAGCCCATCAATGTGAACCACAAACAGCAAAGAATCTTTTACCCCAGTTCAACATAAGCATCTGCAAACAGCCCTGAACCCTAAACTATCTAAGTATCCCAGACTGAAGCCTCTTTTGAACAAAGGCACCATCAAGCGAAGCTCAGGCAGGCCACCGGCCTGCAACATCTCACAGCAGGAGGGGGGGCTGCTCGGGTTTAAATGGTTCAAGGATAGGTTTGGGGTGGAAGCTTGCGTGTTGGGGGTGCGGAGCCTTTTGTAGCAGGAAGCCTCTGGGAGCCCTCCGTGGTTCAAACGGCTTGAGGATTCCTGGAGGTGCGTTGAGCAACCTCCTATGACTTCTGATCGTCAGCCATTACCAGAGATCCCGCTCCAAGCCCTAAACCCTTGGTTCTGTGTTCCAACAACGCTAGGCTCTGAAACCTCATCTCGATCGAGGGCTTAAGGATCCCGAAACCCCCAAACCCCCGAAGCTTCAGTCCTCGAACTGCGGGGACACCAGCGGCCTCCCAACGGAAGGATGCTTGCTTTCGGTGACCAAAGCTTGGGATTTGTACACAGCCTTGAATCGGCTGGCAGGTTTGGGATCGGGCTGTAGCCTTGAGGGAGCTTTGGCTCTAGACCGTGGAAGTAGGGCTTTGTGATTCTCATGTCTTGGGCTTTCGTTCTGGCACGACTACACAGCCGGATACAGCCTTCTGAGCCAGGGCAAAGTACCGAGCCTCAAGCTCAACCTACCCTCAAACTGGCTCAAGCTCTGAAGCTGTGACAGGAGCCCGAGAACTTCTGATCACGACCAGCGCGACGTGGCTTGCAAGTCTACTCACCCCTATAGGCACCATACCCGAAATCCTGCAGAACCTGCAGCTGAAGCCTAAATTTCAGGCTCCTTGGGTTTACCGTGCCTCCCCAAGCAGTCCTTGAACTTGGTCTTGATGCCTGCAGTGCAGTTACGGGTTTAAGTAGGTGGTCTATGTTACCTTTTTCGTTTCGTGCTGTGTGTTGTGTCCAAGTCGCCGCTCCCAAATACAGCACGTCAGCTATGGCTTCCAGGCTTTGGGAGAATTCCTGAAATTGTCTTTCTCAGTCTGGGGTCACGGGGTGGGCATGAGGTGGTTGCAACACCTGCGAAGGATCTTTATGGATCTTTCGTTCTAGTAGCAAAGCTTGACGTGACAGCCATTTCACAGTAGTGATGTTCTCTTCACTTCCTCAAGTTTAAGGCTTGCTGCTACGCTCTTCAAGCCCGCCGACTGTGTTGAATATTGATAACATTGCTTAGCTTTCGCGCATATTCGTGTAGGGCTTTCGGCTTGCGATGGCGTTGCGCTTAGGCTCGGGGAACAACCTACGATCAGCCACACCCAAAGCCTGCTCGAAAACAGGCCAGGTTGCCGTCGATTCTCCACTCGACGCGGCTGGCAGCCTTGCCATC